CGAGCGGGCATCCCGACTGTGACTTAGGGTCTGGGTTGGCCGGCACGTGGACGGACCACAGTGCACAAGGCGCATCGAAACGACGTCAGATGGCCCGCCGCCCTCCGTTCGAGAGCCCAAAAGGACACCGGTACGGGACCCGGTAGCGAAGAGGAATGGGTCGTCGGCCCCGCGCTCACCCGACGGCACCACGCCCCCGGAGGGTCGGAGACCGAATGCAACTAACTTAACGAGCTTCTCAACCGCCCCTCCCTCCGGAATGGAGAGGCGGATAGGAGCCACGACTCCAAGCGCGACCTCGGTCGGCGCGACGAAGAAAGAGAGAGGGGACGTAGGCGGATGAAGCGGACATCTTTAATGTTATGGATAGGGGACGCACCGCGTCACACCGGGGCGACGCGGTGCGGTAGGCGTGTTCAACGGGGCGCGTTCACCGGCAGCCCTGAGGAGCCCATGTCTCAAGCCCCCGAAGGGCAATAACCCGGATCACTCGGGTCCCCGGGGTCGAGCTCCCCAAGGGTGAGCATGGGGACGCCCCCGTGACCGACCCCACCGGGTGGGATGGTAGCCGAGCCGACGGAACTACGGGGATTCGTCTGAGGCGGGACCGATCACGGCGGTGATCCGGACAACTCCCGAAATCCCGGTTACGGTAACGGGCGACTGGGCGTACCGAGACTAGCCGCGAAGGGGCTCTCGACGGCACACGAAACGAAATGCGAACCGCCTCGGCAGGGCCTGCGCCGAGCCCTGCCGTCACAGTAGAGTCGCGAAGCGTCACAAGGAATGGACCAGAACGGCGAACCGCCGCCTGGAGACACATCGGAACCCCCAGGGGGCATTGCCGGGGGTGGGAGTTGCCACCACGGCCGAAGTTGCCACCCTCGCCAGTGTGACGAGGGCGGCAGCGGCGCCCTGACGAGGAGGCCCGTGCGCCGGAGATGGGTAGGGTCACCGGAGAAGCGATCCGCGGTAGCCCGTATGGCCGCGGGATGCGCGACCCCCGCGCTAATACGGCCCTCAAACCCAAAAAAGGGGGGCCGCGAGGCGACCGAAGCAAAGGAAAACGATCGAACGTTGAAGGAGAAGTAACAAGAAAATGCCTTAGGGGCTTTACAAGAAGAGAGCTAACGGACGATGTACGGGACCATAGAACGACCCGAGAGCTCAACGGCTCGTGCCGTTAGAGGGCGCTGACGGGCCGGAAGCACGCGCCCTCGGGGGGCAATAACTTGGATGAGACGGCAACTCGGGCTCCATTTCATGGAGCGGAGGAAGTCCGGCCTCTCCGTGGGGAGTCCAACCCCGAGGCGGATCAGCAGAGGTCGCGGGTGCGTCGGTCGTCGAGAGGCCGTACCCACGACCCTCAGAAGAATCTCGAAGATTCTGCGGCGGCGGGGACGCAGCACGCTCCGGGGGCCCAACACGAGCGGCTCTGAGCGCGTCACGTTCTCCGCGATACCGATCGCGGTCGAAGACGGCGCGCTGGAGATCCCTCGCGCGACGTGAGGAGGCATCGCGTAGGACCTCGAGATCGCACCGGGCGTCGCGAAGCTGTGCAGCGAGAGAGTCGCGCTCCGCAGCGAAAGACTGGCGCTCCGCCCCGAGGCGAGGCGCCTCGCTGCTACGCTCAAGATACCAGTTCGTCAGGGTCCGCAGTAGGCCCTCTATGCTCCAAGTCCGATCAATTAGGTTCCCCAGGGCGCGGGACAACCTGGGGATCGCGGTGATCTCTCGGCGAGTTAAATCGAGATGGAGCGCTTGTCCCCGCGGGGTACCAGGGTACCCAACGGAACCAAGGGAGGGGAGCGGAGGTAACGTAGGCTCCGCCACCGTGTGGGGACCGATAACGGGAAGGCCCCGTACCACGTTCGTCCCAGCCGACGCGACGGCGGGGGACTCCCCGTCAAGGTCGCGATACCTCTTCCGTCGTGCCTCTCGCGCAGTAGAACCGACACCCCCTTTGCTCCGAGAGGGTGCCGCCAGGAGGGGATTCGGACGTGCCACGAAGGCATCTCCTTGACAATCATAAGCCAGGAAGGAACTCCGGGTCCCTGTCGTATAGTCGGTCCACGGTCGCCTGTTACGTTCGGGCACCGCGACGGCGCGGTGCATCAAGTCGAGGACCGAGGTGTAGGACCATGGGACATTCGGGGAACCGCGCTCCAAGGGGTGCAGGGTCACATCGGGCAGAGGCGGCGCGACTCGACCCAGGAAGGACAGCACACCGACGGGCTGTACGAAGGCGCGTCCATGTACCGAGACCTCGCTCATGAAAGCGTTACAGGTGGACCACGCCCATTCGCACTCGTAATTGTAGACAAGTTCCTCATACGCCGGGTGCCTCGAGTCAGCACACGCGAAGCCGAAATGCTTCAATGCGTAGGGGAGTAACGGATGCACTCCCAACGAAGGGAGTGCCTCCCCTACGCCGGGCGGGAGCTCCGGAAAATTGCTTCGCGATAGGCCCGGAGAGAAAGCAGCGGATGGGAAGACACGACCGTCGTCCTCGTCGGCGTGGCGGTACGCTGACCAATCATTAGGAGCCAGGGCGATATGGTGGATGCGCATCAGGGCGCAAGCGGACTTCTGCAGAGCCGCACGAACCCTTGAGTAGGCACGAGGACGGGGGCTGACGTACAGCCCCGCTACCTCTGAAAGTATAACACGACGGGGAGCTCGGGGGTCCCGGTGGAAGAGGTACGTCGACATTCGATCGACGTATTCGACCTCTTCCACACTATAGGCAAACGTCCTATCACTGGGTATCTCGTCCGGAATTTGGTAGGCAGCACCGTCCCCCTCGGACAACAGACGACCCAAGGCAAGGGACGCCTCCGCTGCCAGGCCACCTTCGTAAATGGTGCGGATCCGGAGCAGGTCGGGGCGCAGGTAAGCCCTCGCCAGAAGTTCGCCGACGGTCACGCCCGACCGAGCGTGACGGCGCCACGCGTAGTTTAGGCGGCTGAGCGGTAACGGAACCGACCGCTCCAGGGGCACCCCCAGCCACTCCGTAGAGGTGTCGACCACCTCTTCCTCCGTGGCCCTGCCAAGCCGGGACGCTGTCGTCGGAGCACCAGGGCGCCGGCAACTACCAGAAGCTCCATATGAGCCCTCTGCGGGCTGATACGTGCCCTCGCACGACCATGCCACGAGCTCCCCGCCGGAGGAACCACCGCCGACACCGACACGCGCAGGCCGAGAGGGCATCGGACCCCCTGCCACCAAGGACGATGGCGCGGTGGGCGGCAAGGCGGCGAGCGACGGAAGACTTGGGTCTTCGGGCACTGTAGGGACCCGGGGCCCTCGGGCCTTCCGGAACGGACGGGGAGGCCACCACGGCGTCGGAGCGGCACCGTTGACGACGGTAGGAGGGAGTCGTGATGACCCCGCCGCCTCGACGGAGGCGGGGTCATCAAGGGTCGGGGCGCAGACGACCGGTGCGTCCGATCCACTGCCAGACAACGACCGCGGAAGCGAGGGGCTGTCCCGAGGGGTAGCCCGGGGCGACATAGTGAGGACGAAAGGGCGCGAGCCGATTAGGCAAACGAGAGAGTAGGGGGGCTCGTGGAGAAGGAGAAAGAACGCCGCTTGCCGGGTAGGAGGGGGAAGAACGGACTCCCCCGGAGGGAGTAGCGGGGTAATGCCGACGGCGAGCCCCAAAGGCACGCGCACAACCGCACGGCGGCAAGGAGCCGAGGCCGAAGAGGGGGAGACGAGGTCCCCGGTTGACAGGAAGGGGGTCGAGAGGTCAGCACGCGCGCAGAGGAGCACGAGACAGGACCCCGGGGATACCGACCAGAGAGCGGAGCCGTGAGAAGGAGCGAAAGGGGCCGTATGGAGTACGCGGTTAGACATGGCTCACGCTCTACAAGCACCCGTGTAGTATAACCCCCCCTGGGGCTTTATCTTACATTAGATCAACTCAGAATCGGATCGGTTACTGTAGAGCTCGATGCTCTACAGTACCACCACGTGTACCCCTGAGTACAGGGGGGCACGTGTACACGTGTACGCGCGGAACGAAGTGCGCGCGCACACGTGTACTGTCAGCCCCGATGGCTGACAGTATTACAGTGTCGACCGACCGCTACAGTACGTCGCTACAGTACATCGGTACTGTACTATTATGATAGGTTATTGTGTACATTAAATATGGAGCGGACCCGCGGCGGTGGAGGAGGACAAGCACGGACTTGTCACCCACCGACCGTCAAGGTCCGACTTCCCGCTTATTCTAAGGTAGCGCTCGCTAACTACCTTAGAGCGGCACCGAGCGCGGGTTGAGGACGCGCGCAGTACGCCCACGAGCCGGCTCCGCCTCCGCCCGTCGGTACTGGATCGTTACCCAGTACCGCGCCGGGGCGTCGAGGCGTCGAACCGCTCGCGCGTACCGGCGCCCTCCCCGTTCCCGCTCTACCACGCTACCCGGGCCCGCTGCCCGGTGCCGTTAGCTGGTGTCCCGCTTCACCCCCGTCTTCCCGTTCGGACGGGGTCTACGTCGAACTGTGCATACACCCCTCTCCGTTGGGGGTGTTTATGCTACACCATCCCCCACACACATCCTGACACTTGGCGTGCCGGTCCCCGGAGAGGCCGACGCTAAGGAAGGGGGAGGGAACAAAAATAATTCCTCGACTGCTACGGAGGAACAGGCGCGACGCGAACAACCAGTTACGGACGATGGCAGAAGACAATCCTCCACTGCTACGGAAGGATACGCGCGTCGCAAAGAATCCGCTACGGACGAAGGCAGGATTAATTCCCCACCCGCGGGGGAATGTGCGCGACGAGAAGGACCCGTTACGGACGATGGCAGAATTAAATCCACCACCGCTACGGGAGGAGGCGCACGACGCGAAGAACCGGAAACGGACGACGCCCACAGTGGCAATCCCGCTAACGCGGATGAGCGGACCGATACGGACGCGGAGAAGACCCGCTCGTGGGAAGAAGACGTCCATATTGGTGCAGACGACAGTACCGTCCAGTCGGAAATTATGGACATGCTGTCCGAGTTCAAGGACATGTGGTCCGGCCACTTGGGTAAGATTGATGCTACGAAGCATCGCATCGAGCTGAAGCCCGGTGCGAAGCCGATCTACCAAGCACCCTACCGAGCCGGACCCATCGCACGCGAGAAGGAGAAGAAGGAAATCGACCGCATGCTGCGCGCGGGAGTCATCGAACCGACATCGGCCAAGTGGGCGAGCCCCGTGGTCTTCGTCCCTAAAAAGGACGGGACCATGCGGTTCTGTGTGGACTACCGCAAGCTAAACGCCGTTACGGTTCGCGACTCCTACCCACTACCGCGCATGGACGAATGAATCGACTCGCTCGGCGATGCCACTGTCTTTACCACGCTAGACTGTAATAGGGGGTATTGGCAGGTGGAGATCGCCGAGGAGGACCGCGACAAAACTACGTTCGCGTCGCATTCGGGCCTCTACCGCTTCCTACGCATGCCGTTCGGTCTCAAAAACGCGCCCGCGACATTTCAACGAGCGGTCGACATCATCCTGTCCCGCGTGAAATGGGAGACCGCGCTGGTCTACCTCGATGACGTCATCGTCTACTCTCGAACCGTTACGGAACATATGGCACACGTGCGCGAGGTACTACGGCTTCTACATACCGCGGGCGTGTCGCTAAAATTGGCGAAGTGCGCGTTTTTCGACACCTCCGTAACCTATCTCGGGCACGTCATTCGTCCGGGACGGTTGGAGGTGGAGCGACGCAACGTCATTGCGATCGAGCGCGCGCGCGCGCCTACGAACCAAACGGAACTGCGATCCTTTCTCGGGATGTGCAACGTGTACCGACGGTTTGTGCAAGGATTCGCGAAGATCGCCGCGCCGCTGAATAAGAAGACCGGCAAGAATCAGGCCTACGAGTTCGAGATCTTAACCGATGCGGAATACGCGGCGTTTGAGGAATTGAAGCGGCGCCTCGTGTCGCCGCCAATCCTCGCGCTGCCCCGCTACGGACGGAAATATACGCTGGACACCGACGCGTGCGGACACCAAGTGGGTTGCGCCCTTCTACAGGAGCAACCCGATGGAGGTGCTCGACCGATTGGATACTGGAGCCGCGCGTTGACCGACGCGGAGCGCAATTATACGACTACCGAAAAAGAATGCTTGGCCGTAGTGTGGAGCATCCTCACCCTACGGCCGTACCTATACGGAAGCGCGTTCAACCTCCGCACGGATCACGAGGCCCTACGCTGGGTCCTCAATTTAGCGGACAGTTCCGGTCGGCTCGCTCGCTGGCGCCTGCGCTTGGCGGAGTACGACTACGAGGTACAGTACCGCCCAGGCGTCAAGCACCAACTCGCGGACGGCGAATCGCGCTTACGTACTGATAGAGAAGACACCGAACCGGTCGATGATGAGGTCCCGTGCTTCGCGGTCCAGTACGATGAGGGCAGCGAGGCCCTCTTGGACAATGTGCACTGGGACCCACCGCAAGACCGTCCGGACGGTTGTCACGCGCTCGCGATAACTCCCGAGGAACGCGACGCTGCGTCCCTCTCGGTTGAGGAATTTCTACGCGAACAAGCTGAGGACGCCTTCTGTCGCTTCGCCGCGGAAACCGTCGGGACGCCGAACTCGAAGTTCGACATCGACCGTTACGGATTTCTCGTGAGGACGTCCCCGCTGGACGGAACCCTGCAGCGCGTGGTACCGACTCGGTTGCGCCCCCGGGTACTGTACCTGGCACACCATCCGAGGTTGGCAGGTCACCCGGGAGCGACGCGTATGTACTACACCATTCGCAGGGAGTACTACTGGCCACACATGGCCAGCGACGCGTTTTCGACCGTACGGAATTGCACCTCGTGTGCTGCGACCCGCGGGACGCTTGTCAAGAACCAAAAGGATCTCAAGCTGTTCCCCGCGGCGGGCCCCTTGGAGTTTGTCGCGATGGACCTCCTGGGGCCCCTGCCCAAGACCGCGCACGGAAACCAACACGTGTTGGTAATTACCGACCGGTTCTCCAAGCTAACGCGCAGTATCCCGCTCCGGACCACAACCGCTTCGGTCGTCGCAAACGCGTTTTTAGACAACTGGGTCTACGTTTACGGAGCGCCGCGCTACGTAATAACCGACAATGGCCCCCAATTCGCTGCGAAATTCTTCGACGCGGTATGCGCCCTCCTGGGGGTGCGGCATTATCTCACGACAGCCTACCACCCCCAGTCGAATGGGCAGACCGAACGGTTCAATCACGCTGGTGCAACGCCTCCGGCACTACGTGGAGGAGCACCAGCGCGATTGGGACGACTAAGTGCAGCCGCTGACCTTTGCGTACAATACGCAGGTCCACCGGTCGACGGAGACGACTCCGTTCGACCTGGTGTTAACGCGGCCACCGTCCGGTTTGATTCTCCCCGGTACTGTGCCACAGGACGCGGGGACCCATCGAGAGGACCGGCGAACCCCGGTGCAGTACAAGCGCGCCACGCTGCGCAAGCTTCGCGACGCTCTCGACCGCGCCCGGACGAAATTATGCGCATCGCAAAAGCGGTACAAGGAAGATTTTGACAAGAAGGTCCGCTTCCGTCCGGTCGTTGTGGCGGGCGATTTTGTCTACGTTGATCGCCCGCCCCGCCCGTTGACAAGCGTCGAGCGACGCACGCGTGCGCAAGGTACGACCGGAACGGACGAGCTCTCTGTCAAACTTCTACCAAGGACAGAGGGGCCGTTTTGCGTGCGCTCCGCTACGGACACCACGGTCCTCATCGAGCAGGACGGTGTGGAGAACCGCGTGAGCATCGACCGCGTCACAAAAATGCCACGCGGGCCGGGGGACACTGTCACCTCGGCCATTCCATCCGCATCGGACGCACAAGCCACAACGCCCCGCGCAGAATACGTCGTTGACCGCATCGTCGGACACCGTATGACCCGCGGCGGCATCGAGTACAAGGTTCGCTGGTACGGGTACGCCGCTTCCGACGATACCTACGAGCCCTCCGAGGGGCTCCCGCAACCTTTCATCGACCGATATTGGCGTACGCGCCAAGGACGGACAAGCGCGCTCGCGTAGCGCTCCTTCCGGCCTCGCATGGCCGAACCGTCAGGACGACCTCGCTCGCACGCGTCGTGCACTGCCGCCCGCACGCGCCAAAAGGAAAAGGCAAGGAACACCGCTAATCGGCTCTGTTTACTGTGGGCGAAGCCCCTAATGGGCTACGCGAAAGCGGGCGACCAACGGGTCGGGGCTCAAGAACGACGCGTGCGCTTAGCCGGCGGAGCCGCCGCGGCATCTTCGGGCGCGGAGCGCGAGGCCCCGACCGTAGCGGCAGGCATCGGCGGCGCCGCGAGACGTTGGCTGACGACCGCGAGGATGTCCTTCACGCCGGGGAGCTTCTCGTGATGCTCGACGCGCTCACGCTCCGCCGCGGTGGAGGCCTCTTGGAGCGCCGCGACGGTCGTCTCCAGCTGCTTGGCTTGGTGCATCCACTCGCGCGCCTGCAGCAGCGCCTGCTCAACCGACGAAGGAACTGTTGCCCCCTCGAAGGAGCAAGCGTACTGCAGGGCAGTGAACGCGGCCTCCTCACGGAGGCGCTCCGGGGAAGACCGGCCGGACGGTTGTGGAGCGGGAGGAGGCGGCATCGGAACGGGACGATGATAGCCTTCGGTACCGGTCACCACGCTGATGTGTGGGGGGCTTGAGGTGGGGGCCGAAATTCCCACGACACCGGGGGGTTCTCTTAACCCCTTCGGTGAGTCGCTCTGGATCGAGGCCACGCGAGCGGATCCGCCGCGGGCCGGTACCGCGGTCTCGACGACGCTCCTCACCGCACCGGTTCCTGCATCGCGCGGCGGCGCGACATCGGCATCGGCAAGCAAGCCGCCCGTGTCACCCGCGTCGACCGTGTCGACTGCGCCGTCCACGTCGACCGCGACGGTCGCGTCCGCTGGACCGGGGGCCGCGCTGCCACCATCGGCACCGGTCTCTGCCTCGGCTCCGGCGAGCATCGGTAGGGTACACCGCTGGTTCCAGCTGAACCACGCGAAGTCCGGCCGGCCGCTCCAATCCATACCCTCGGTGAAGGCCAACAGCTGCGTCGCGTACGCCGCGTCAAACGCCGTACCCTCGAGGATCTCCGCGATACCGACCGAGCGGATTAAATCGATGAGCCCCGCCGAGAGGCGGAAGAGCAGGCCGCGCTCACCGAACGGTTCCTCGCGCCGCGCGATCAGCCGCGGGTCGGGACACTTCGTGAAGAACGGCAGTCCCTCGCGAGCGGCGTGCAAGAAGCACAGGAAAGCCAAGACCGCCCATTCGGAAAGCATGATCGCGTGCACCAAGACGCTCGTTCGCTCCTTTTCCGCGGATTCCGATCGGCCGAGCGGCAACCAATGCGCCGCCACGTACGCCATGACGCTCGGCGTCGGTACCCACAGGTACTCCGGCGCCTCGAACGTCGACCAGTTCGGCGGGAGCGCGGGGTACAGGTCACGCCGCGCGGCGCTGGGCACCGAGAAAAACTCGGCGCTGTGCCACATGTGGAAGAAATCGTCCACCCGGCGCCAGCGCAGCCGACTCTCGCGCGCTGCGTCCTCACCCCACCGCGCTCGGTTCGCAACGCTGTACCAGCTGTCGAAAGGCCGCGGAAAGGCCACCAAGCGAACGTCGGGCGCGAGGCCCTCGTAGCGGCGATACCGACCGAAGAGGTTCAGCAGCGAGATGTGGTACTTTTCCTCGCCCTCGCAGCGGACGTAAAGCAAGTCACTGCCCGCCGCGGCCGGCGTCCGACACGGAGCGTGACGCCACCGCGCCTTCCACGCGCTGGCGCGGTTCTCTTGCGCCACGGCACCGCGTCCGGACGGAGTCTTGATCGCGCGCACCATCGGAATGGCCGCGAACCTCGCCGCGTCCAGCAAGTTCCGCTGAACGTACTCCTCGACCGTAAGCGGAGGCTTGCGGCCCGCAGCGCGTCGGCGAGCGCGCCGGCGGCGGTGGTCCATCGAGGACCCGGGCCACAGCGACCGTACGGAACCGACGCCGCTGCGCAGCCAGCCCGGGGTACTCGGGGCGGTGAATACCCGCCCCAGCGATGTTGTCGCTCCCCGTCCGGCCGGCTCAAGCGCTACGCTACTCGACGGCGCCGGCGCCGCGTACGGCGCCTCGGAAGCGGCCCTTGTGAGCGGCGTGCTCGCAGCGGGCAGCGGCGACATGGGAGGCGGCGGCAGCTCCACGGGGAGCCCCGGGTCCGCCTGGACCATTCTTGGAGCCACGCCCGCGAGGGGCAGCGGCGAGGACTGTGTTGTTTAGGCGCCCAGCGGTGGCGAAGCAACCGGTACGGGCGAATCAATTGGCGCTTGCGCGGGCCCCGCCACTCCAGTGGACGGTTGCAGGCCGTCGCGAAGGCGTCGCCGCGGTTGGAAGGTGGGACCGACCGGCGTCGCTGCCGGAGCCCGAGGCGGGCTCAACGGCTGCCTGTACGCGCGTACAGCCGGAGTGTCGCGATGACCGTCCATCGGTTGGTTGAAGAGCCGCTGTAGGGGGATGTCGTCGTCGCTGTCGGAGGAGGTTTCTGAGTTCGCAGGGGAGTGATTGGGAAGAATTGGGGGGTCAGTGTGGATCGCGTGGGGAGAATCGGAAGACGCGCTCTTCGAATCGGACGAACTCGCGGCGTTATATACCGCTAGCTCGCTGACGAGCCAGGGGGCATGATCGTCCACACGGAGGGGCTTCTGTTCCCGCATCGTACGCAATAGAAGGAAACGTCCGGAACGGACCCGCGCGCTCGAGTAGAGGGTCACTACGGGGACGTAGCGAAAGCTAAGGGGGGAGGTCTGTAGTATAATGACCGGCGCGAGCGCGCGGAGGTCATCGGACGGCCGTATACGGTATACACGTGGGCGGCTGTGCCCACATGTAGCGAGCGCGCGCGCATGCCGAGCGGTCGTAATCTGGCGTACGTGTACAGTAATGCACGTGTCGTCCGAGCGGTAGTCTACGCGTGTTACGTGTGCGCGTTAGCACACGTGTCGTCCGTGCGGTAGTCTGTAAGCAACACGCGTGTACAGTAGTGCACACGTGTAGTAGCAGCGTCCGTGCCGTAGTAGCAATTATGGCGCTAGTTTTTTAATTGTGTACTGTACCCGGCACGCACTAGGCGGCAGGTACTGTACTACTGTACTGGGACAGGTGTCCGAGGCGTCCCTCTGCGGGGTTGAGACCTGGCACCCGTCCCCACCAGTAAACGGGGGCAAGCTCGCCCCCGTCCCTTTTGGGCCTACGTACGTCCGTTTTCGGTTGTCTGTCGCGCGCGCTGGCTTCTAACCCGTTACTGGTCGCTCCTGTTCACGCACCACGGGGCGACTGCGCGTAACCGGCCAGTGAGCCACTCTCTTTTCGCGAGCTCGTCCGATCGGTTCAATTGGCGCGTTGCGTCCGCGCCGCGTGCTCCCTCGCTAAAGTCTCCGCCTCTCACCCAACCCAGGGCGGAGAGGAGTTATCCCACACGGTACAGCAGCTTTGCCGCGAGTTGGGATGCCGGGGTTTCCTCCGGGATGCTATGTTGGATTTGTCAATGCGATGCAATAGTTTTACCCTTTATAAGTAAACGTCATCTAACTACAAACTTGAGACTTCTCTCCCTCAACATTCTCTCGCTCTCATTGTTTTCAACTTACCAAAACAGCACCCCATTCTAACCGAAGTCTGTATTTTTTCCTCACGCCGCACCCTCTCTTACGAGCTCAGGGATCATGGTTTCTGTCGGACGTTTGACCAAGAAGTCACTGGCTGTGCGCATGCTGCGTTCGAAGTTTGAGAAGGGGGAGGTCATCGGAGGTGAGTCACTGAAAGCTGTTCGGGAATCAAATGCGGTATTCCAAAAACACAAGCTGGGAAATTTTCGTACCTGCTACAACGCCATGCGTATAGAATTTGGAAGCAAGCCAATCACGAGAGGTAAGCCTGACTGGGAGTGTGACATTTACATGTGATTTATGATTGATATGTTTAACATTCATTTGTCAAACTAATTTTTCTGTATTGTAAAGGCGTTGAGGCAGATGAATCTCGCGACAGTGTGGCCCTTGACCGATGTTATAGTGCCACAGACGGGCCCGGTTCTGCCTGTAAACGACGGGCGTCGACCGTATTTGTGGATGACGATGACGAGAGTGAAGAGGAAGAAGTGAATACTGGCGCTGGCGCGGAGCTGACTGCGGGAGAACTAGTCTTTAAGCCATTGTTCATGATCTCTAGGTGGATTGAAAGATTTACATTGATTAAGCGTTTGTGTGTGGCGATTATCTTGCCATCTGGAGTCGGCTCTGGTGATTTTACTATTACAGTGGTAGATGGGGGGCATTTTTTACAACATGCTGTACGATGGCCGAAGCCTCTTGCAGATGTTTTAGTTATGCATCGCTGGAAACTATCTAATCCGAGCAGTGGGTTTATGCCCTACCATCCCTCAGTTATAGGATTCGAGTCAGCTTTAAGCGAACTCCGGAAGAGGAGTTCTGATGCTGTGGAGTCTATTGCGAGGATATCTTTACCGTTCGAGGTAATCACG